TGCATCCACGTTACATTCAACTGTATCCCAGGAAACACATTAGAATATATATTATCAATCTTTGCTCAGGGCGGTATCAACCGTTACACTGAATAGGGGCAAAGAAACGAATAGTAAATATGACATCCGTACATATGTGTTCACTGTGCACAGACAGCTGGCTGAAATAAATAAAAACGCCATTGATTTCTAAGACCCCTTGAATCTCTGCTAGGACCCCTGGAATTCACATTTTATGAGCCATTGTTGCAGCCCTGGAAATGTCTGCAGGCCTGTGTCAGGACTTCAAGTCCACAGTCCATACTGGTTAATTAGCCTACTTGGCTAATGTTAGCAGTCTGTGCGCGCGAGCGTGCGACGTGTAATGGTGTCCAAAAGCAACATTCCACGCGTGAATCAGTGTGCAACCTCATTCGGCGGGGTAATCTCAAACAGCAAACCGGGCTATTGGTAAAAGGCAGCCTTTTGGCCTTGATAGCGGTGTTGCACGGCTAGCTTAGCCTGCACAGTGCACACCCAGGCTATGTGTGCCACGCCATGTATTGTTTACATAGCGTCCACGGTCGCGCTATTTTTGACAGCACAGATCGCGAAGCAAAACAAATACGTTGACGGAATAGTGAATTTAGGACGTTGTCTGTGTTTGTACTTCACGCGCAAATAAGCCGTTTGGACAGACGCGAGCTCGGTCAACTGACTGGCAGGCTAGCGATGCTAAACCAGCTAGCATTTGTCAGCTAACCAAGCAGACAGGATTCACCAAATCCAATTCAGGATTCACTAGCTAGCAGGCTAACACTCAAAGCTAACGTTGGGAGTAGTTGTTGAAACGCCAGTTCATTACCGGACAAACCGCGACCTGCTTCTTCTTTCGATCAAAGTAAAGCACAGTCTCTCCCCTGGATTTAGACAACAGTAAATCATCCATACAATCTTAGTTCTCTATTTTTCTAAATCAGTTGCGCTGATTCCAAACCTGTCGGGCTTTACGTGCACCGACACACACACATCTGCCATGCTTTCCTTTCTGGGTCAAAGTTACACCCCACACCAGCAGGGCAACAAGGCGAGGTGTTTGCGTGTTTCGCTAAAAAGAGAAACGTGTTTTGGAGAAAAGTAAAGCAAAGCGAACAAAGTTGCGACGAATATAGCCGAGTGTCCGAAGATGGAACTCGGACTAATAGCGACTAAGCTAACGTTGCCTGGCTACACAGTCCGGTCGGGCTATCCGACCATTTACTTGACATGAACTCAATAAACCACTTATGCAGATGTCAGTGACTGTATTTGGCATCTGTACACGTTGAACACATTGTTTATAACACCAGCTATGGCATCCGTGGGCTCGAGACGTCCCTATCATTAACTGTGAGCCCCCCCCCTCCAAATAACAGTCAACACATTCGGGAACAATGTCCCTCGCGTAGCTGCTCTCCGCGGTGCCCGGTCCGACCTCCCCCGGCTCATCACTCGGCTTACCGGTCTTGAATAACGCCGCTATGTCGCCAGCGTCCTTCGTCGTCTCCTCCGCTCCTTCCCCGGAGCTCATGGCTGCCGCAACCCGAACCCTGGAGCTCAGCTACTCCCGAGTAGATCCCCCCCCCCGAAAAACGACGGCAAGGCGGCAGGAAAACACTTCCGTCCCGACGAAAACGCCGTTAGAGACCCACGGGCGGTTGCGGCGACTCGCGGGCGCTAGCGGAGCCATCTGCGGACATCCATCTTGGCGTAACTGGAACCGATCAGCCGGGGGCACCGGGTTCCTCCTCGGAGTGGAGCCGAGGGGAGCGTAACCGTAGCGCGGAGGAGACGTAAGGGGGGGGTCGGGTAGGGGAGGGGCCGGGCCGGGCCGCCGCTCGGTGGATCTCAGAAAGCTTTCGGAAATGAGCAGGCGGTGGGTCATCAAGGGACGTTTCCGACATCGGTCATGTGGAGAAGAAGAGAAGAAGAAGAAAAGAAAAACCCACACATGGACGGGAAGAAGTCGCCTGCAGGACGTCAGTTGTGATGCTTGTGTTTCGGCAGACTGTGATTCACGTGGCTTACTAAAGCCTCCTGGACAAAGTGGCTAAATGTTACTCATAGTCAGTCAGACTGCGAAAGTACAGTCCAGACAGAAAAAGGTCAGCTGCTTCAGTCATGGGCCTCTTCTCGCTGCCTTTGGTCATCTGAGACGTATGGCTGATGCCACCTGCTGGTTCGTGATGGGACTGATGCATCTGCTCAGATAATAAACTTTCAAAAACTGTTCCAAAGTCAGGTGAAATGTTATTAAATTCCACTCCTTTTATAGTAAAATGTCGCCTTGTTGACGTACCATCTGATTGGGTTCACGCTGCATCGCAACACATCATGCATTTTCACGAAACACATTTATGCAATAAATGGGAATAAAGTTGTATTAACACGTGAAATATCTTCAATTAAATTACTTGTCAAGTCAAGGTTTTCTTGGGACATTATCCATAATAAGGTGCAAGGCCTCTGGAAATATTCAATTAAACAAGGCTGAGTTTTAACGCTAATCAATTCAGGTTGTGTAAAAGGAAGAATTGCAGATTGAAAGCAATTATTGGTCTGATCATCGTGCTTACTGTTTTTCTTTCTGTTGCATATTTGCACATCTGGTGTAATTATTCGTATTGCTGTGACAGTTCATGGTGTTTTCTTTCCTGTGTGGTTGCTGATGTGTTACTTGTCATGTCCAGCAGGTGGGAGACGGATACCAGTGATGCACCGGCTGTCCTCCTCACAGGGAGGGATGAGATGAATCTCTTCTGCACGTGGGCGAAGTTTGCCATCACATTTCTCCTTTCAATGTATTAGCGTTTAATATTTTTTTTGACCAAATTCATATTCATGGCCTGTCATCACCCTGAAGTTCATTGGTCAAAATTGGTTCCTTTTCACAATAACGTCTTGTTCCTTAATATTGTCCTCTTTAATAACACATATTGAAAGGTTATAATCCTAATCTTATGTTGTCCGGGTCAATTGGGTTTGTTATGCCCTTAATTGAACAGGCAATCTTTTGTGTAATCTTTTTATATTGTCCTATAGCGATCGCAGATGTAAACTAACATTCATGCAAACTGTGGTGCGCTTCCATCTTGTGTTTCTGTAGCTACTGATGTTCATAAAGAGGCTCTGTCGCTATCAGATAAACAAGCACAGCTGAAGCTGCCCGGCTTTCTACTAATGAAAACTTCTAGCTCCGAAAATATTCAGCTCTATAAAGAATGTTATGAAGAAGACATTTAATTCCACTTCAATAAAACATTGTCTGAGGCAGGGGAAGAAGATATATTTGGATGAGAAAGAGGCTCAGTAACATTGCTACCATCACTTTAATAATGCCGCATCGTTGAAAAACTTCAGGTGGTTTCATCACCAGTGATTCCTGCCAAATAGCAATATATCCCCCTGAAATGTCAGCAGTAATTACTCCTGTGCTCCGATACGACCTCTGAAATGAATGGCAGCTGGTGGGTATCGTGTCACATCTCCCTCACTCTGTCTGTTTCTCTCTCTATCACATTGTAGGAACCTAGATGGATAAAAACAGGTCAGGTGGGACACATTGTGAACAATGCTGTCTTAAACACACACACACACACACACACACACACACACACACACACACACACACACACACACACACACACACACACACGCATGCACGCTGTGAAGTGATGGATTAAAACGTTTTTTTTTGTTTGACGAAATTAAACTATTACACAATTATTTCCCTTGTGTATTTTCTCATTATCTCATTTTTATCAAAACACAGTGCAAAATATAATTGAAATCACATGAGAAATTGATGAGGAGACAGTGCTATGACCTCTTTCTGTTAGATATGAAGCTACAATCAGAAGCTGATTAACTTGACAACATGGAAAAAAATCTCAAAGATACGGTTCTACGCATAACTCCCAATAAAACTAATTTTCAAGCTGGTAAACTTTAAATTATTTAGGCTCCGGTAGCTATATGTTGGCTTTAACTTGATATTTAAAAGCTATAAAAGTGTCTTTCAACCACCCATCTAGGAAGAAAGTAAATTAAGAACATTTTCTAAAATGTAAAACTGTAAAATTCAAGGATCCCCACAACATTATGGATTGAAACTTCTGGTCAGACAGAAGTTGTTTTGTAGCTACTTTCTCAATTTTACTACAATTAACCTGAGGTGAACCATCTGTATCTTTCCACACTGCAGAGGCACTGGGCGGTTAGCCTACTTATGGTTTATCTAAAGCCCGAGCAATTTGACTTTTGATCAGCCATAACTGAAGCACATATTCCACACTGCTAGAGATATTTTCCATCCAGTCTAATAAAATGTATTCTGCTGCCAGAGTTAAGCACTTTACATGCTGCGAAAATACCCGACTCAAAATAAAAGCATGGCGTTTAAAGGTCTTTACACAGCAGGTTCTGTGAGAAACATTTGAAGGACATTGAATGGGCAAAGGTTATAAGCATGAAGGACAAAGACGGCGATGCAACCCTACGAGGACGTGCCTTAACTTTATTGAAGTCCATTGTCGACTCTCAACGATTCCAAACAATTCTCCCATGGAAATATATAATAAAGCTATAATGGTTGGATCAGTTGAAGACCTTTAGTCATATGTCCATACCTGTAAATACATCTGCTCAAATAGCCGTACACCTCCTAATGCCAGATTGTCTTTATATAAAGTACTATAACGTTATATATTTAGTATAAGGCAACTGTTTTTTCAATTGGTTTTATAAACATATTAAAATACAGAAATCATCTTACAAAGTGGAAAGGGATGGTAGCTCCATAAATTGTATGTATAATAAAGTGATGGTGTCTGAAAGTGTTTTTCAATAAGGTAAACATATTGTAGCGTGCCTTAAGACACGAAACGTTACAATATATAATATAAATATGACACTTTGAAACCGTGAACTTCAGACAACGAAAAGAGTACTTGAAGGCAGCATGTCAAAGTCCGTCTCCTAGCAACCAGACAACAGCGTCGTCGGGCTGAGGATTCCGGTTTCTGATTTTTATTTATCTTTTAGCGAAGGATTTCGGGCCGAACACGATGGACGTTTCGCTCGAGGCTCAAACGAAACCGCTTTCCACCTTGTCCGCGTTCAGTTACATCCCACCGCGACGGAACGACCCCAAACACATGTCGTATTTTAACACTAAACAGACGGTAAAGTGGCCCGCGGGCTAATCGCACTGCTAGCGCTTAGCTAACGTTGGCCATTTTTTAAAATTTTGTCTTTATTAGTTTTTAAATGTTCGGAAAAAACCCTTTTAGCTCAACAGCGATCAAAACAAAATCTTGTTAATTCACATATATACGGATGGACGGGCAGGGAGATACTGATAAAACGTTATCTCAAATTAGTACAAATATTACTTTCTCTCACATTAAACATGTATATATTCAAACAATTGGGTGTACTGTCATATCCTTAGAAGGTTCAAAACGTGTGTTATTGTTATCCTTGAGGGGTTATTAACAGACAGGAAAACAGCTCAAATAATAATAATACATATCAAATATAAGACAAAAAACGAAAGTAGGCCGCTCAACGACATTATGAGGGCGGCCATTCGCAGTGTTTTTATTCCCACGTATATCGGTGTAGTGTCTTTGTTGCTCATGCTGAAAAGTGCCAACCATATTTACAGTTTCAATCAATAGCTAATGCCTTGTTGCGAGGTTGCCCGGCAACCACTTTTAAAAGTGTTCAGGGGATACTAGAACCTACAGAACTATATTGATATTGTGACTCATTGACAACTTCTCTTTGCTTGCGTTAGAACTCAGCCAAGCACAATCTTGGTGCTTTATTAAGAAATACAGTATAATATAAAACAATATAATATAATTTAGGAATCAATAGCTTGGAGCAGTTCTAGGAACAATCATCAATCTACATTAAGAGGTTTTTACAAAAATACCATGAGACCGTCTGTGTACCGCCTGTGATCCACAGCACTTCATTTGAAAACGAATTCTGAAGAAGTATTTGTGTTCGGTGCTTTCGGTTCCACCAACACCTCCTGCTCTTTCCGCAAAGTTGCACAAACGCCCCCCCTCCTTTCTGTTGAGGGCACGCTTTGAATGAGACACAATCAACCTCTGACCCTCTGTCTGCAGGTCCCAGAGGTCTCCACGTACGACCGAGTGTTCCAGCAGGCGGAAGGTTACGATATGAGACTGCACCGAGACGATAGGAGACACTTCAAGGGAAGAGGACTGGACATAAACGAGGAGGTAATGGACACAATTTACTTGTTATTTTGGTTTCTAAGCATCCCATTTAAACTCTCATAGCTTGCTGATGAGGTCAAACTTGAGTTAAATGAATCTGACAGGTGTGCTTAGAGGAGCCTCAGCAAGATATTAGACTTGACCCATTTTAATTTGTGGGAAATATAGAAGTTTCTATATATATGCTTATTTGGTTTGTCGAGAAATCATGGATCTTCCATTAAATGAATAAATAGATTCTTCAGTTATTCAAACTTGGTCATGGATTTTATTTCAATCCAGCGTTATTGCTGCAAAATAAATCTTGATCATAGCTGAAGTTTATTATGACTTGAAACAATACAAATTCAAATTGGTTTTACATTGTATTCATGTTATCACTGTAATGGTAACACTTTTTATGGCAAACATGTCTAAAGTGAAATCAAACTTATAGTCCATTAAAAAGCTGCTAAATACCACTGAATAATTCTTGTAATAGCATATTATAAAACGTTAAGGACTATACGGTCAAGTATTCTAACACTTAATAAACATAATACATTCTCCACCTATTCACACAGTAGGTATTTCTATGGTAAAAGCAGCCAGAGCACATTTATGCATTGCTATCTTATTTATATATTTTCTTTTTTTCCTATTTAAAATGAGTGATCAACATATAAAAGAGAAGAAAACATTAAAAAACACATTGTGTGTTCAAGCATAAATAGGACGGATCACCTGTAGAGGTATGAGTTCATGATCCAGGCCTGGTTCTTTGTTAATGGGCTTCTGTTTTTTGTAAATGGAGCTGGATGAATGGATGTTCTGCATCACATCTCGTATCCATTGGATATGTGATGCACTGGTTAGATCCTACCATTTAAATAAGATTAGGTGTCCAGCAAGAACAAAGAAAACGGCAACATTGCAGTTGTCTGAAATTGAGAACATACCAGAAATAGAAACTGTAAGACATAACGTAATGTTAAAACAGTGAGCCTTGGATGTTATGTCAAGAGAGGATGATCAGAAATGGAGGCGTTATCATCACTCAGCGACATAGATGCTCGCTGGGGTCTGTTTGCACCTGTCACATATCAGGCTGAGGCTTGGAGAGTATATTTATAGTATGTGTATTTCTATCACATCTTAAGTGAAGTTTTAAACTCATAAATTACAGTTCAGCAATGACGTAGGGGAACATCGCCTTATAGCACTGACCACCTACACACTTGGCACACAAACCGACATTTACTCAGCTCATAACACTTTCTCCTGGTGTTTCCTCAAGCTTATTAATGCAAACAGAAAATTGGCAATATGGCTTTTGGAATGTTTTCGTGAGGGTCTAGGTTTAAAAAGTCAAAGACATTCAGATTTGACAGAAGTCTATGTTAGAAAATGACTCTACTTCTCATTTGATTCCAATGGTCCCACTTTTTCTTCAATACAACATGATGTCCAAACTGCTCCCTGTCTCCTGTGGTGTTCCGCAAGGGTCGGTCCTCGGCCCCATCCTCTTCATCATTATAAAATTCTCCCCCTCGGTCGTGTCATCAGCAAACATGGGACGTGCTCCCACTGTTATGCTGACGACACACAGCTCTACATCAAGACTTCCCCGAGCCTTTCTGCAGCCATGTCATGTACCACCTCGTCTTGAGGAGATAAAGGCATCGATGAGCAACAACAACTGGCCCGGGCCAAAACGCCAAAAGTCAAGCCCTCTAAACCACAAATCATCAGGTTACTATTTTAACCTGTACTTCCATTTCCCTAACTCCCTAACCTAAAGACATGTTTTCTTACACCGCGTGGGCACTCACATATGAAGTTTCATGACATTTATGCATAGCTCTGTTTCATTTCATCTCCATTATTCATGTCGAGGAAACTAGCTCACAGGCAGGTTCTCGCTCACGGAAAGCAGAGACGGTGGCGAACGAAGCTGTAACACACACGCACTGCTGAGCTTTTAATTACAGCGAGTTGAGCGGCTGGCTCTCGTGCACTTGTGACAGATCCTAATAAATGAGGGCGTTTTCTTTGAATGTGAAACAAAAATGATGTATTGTTTGAACTCTTCAGCGGATGTTGGCGATGTGTTATTTTGTTCGTCCTCTTTCTCACTGTCGGTTCTGCAGATGGTTGGTTCGACCTGCTGGAAGTCAGAGGTGCCCACTGTTCACAAATGTGGGGAAAATGATCACACTGAGGCTCTCTGGGTCAAACTGAGCAACACGTGCATCAGTTCTGTCTAATAGACCATTGAGGATAACAGCTGGTGTTGGGGCCATTTTTGCTTCAGCCAACATCGCATCCTATTGGAAATAAGAGGCAAAATGAAGAGTTAGGTGGAGTAATAACCATCTTCCCACCTCAGTACAAGTGTGTCCTCTTCAACTGCACTGATTATAGCTTCATGAAATGATGTCTTATTACGCCGGTACCGAGAATTTTGCCACTGACATGCTTCAGAACAGAAGCAAGGTCAGTGAATTGATAGAATATATCACCTGAAGCTGTTCAGTGAACCAACACCACTTAGTTTTCTGTGGGCGGAAAATGAATAAGTACTGCGACTGTAAAGGCACATTTGTTGATTTTTAACTGCACATTCACCCGGCTCCCATTTCAGCACTAAATATATTCAAGGCATTTACTTTAAAAGCAAATTTGCAATTCAAACCCAAGTGATATTCAACAGGAAAATATGTGGGACTTTTTAAAATTGTAATTTCAATGGCTTATTGATCACAAGGCTAATCCCCAGCTTTAATTGAACTGCTTTGAATATTTATCCCATCTCTCCCAACCACAGGAGAAGTCCAGGGCCGTACCGGTGCGCTCCTCTGCAGAACACGGCCGCCACCCGGTTCCTGAGCTCTGGCAAACAGGCCGGCAGTATGCACGCGTGGGTTGCATAAACGCTGAATTTTTCAGGAAAAACGGGATCTTCTGAAATGTGGACGAAGGATTCGGATCAGTGGCCCCGACTTGAAAGCATGAGGTGTTTGATTTTGCTAAGAGAATAATAAACCAGTGTTATAGTTTACAGATTAATTTTTTTTTTTAATGGGTCCTCTCGAGCCAGCATTTAATTACGTTGATTCATGATATTCTGTCTTTTGTATCGTGATAATAAGCAAGGACAAAGGTTAGCATAAGGGAAATGTGATCCGTCAAAAAAATAACTGTAAATAGGAAGATGTGACCTTTTCGAGGTAGCCGATGTTGGACTTTCTAGTTTGAGGCTGAAATCACTCCATCACTATGAGCCTAACTTAAAGTTCAGATGGTGCAGGCACACTACAAATCCCCCAAAATGGCTCCCAGTTATTGCATTTTGCTTTTACACACGGTATCAAAGATCAGTCTACGTTTTCCAATTTCTGCCTCCACTCTAATAGCGGCTCGTATTAAGAGACCGAATGTTCTAGGTGACAGGAATAATGTGATTTCTAAAACCGACAGGATTTCTCTTTTGAGAAAACCTTTCACTACCGAAGCAGGGAATAAGATTAACTCTCAGAGACTAGACAAGAAATTGCTTCAACCAGACCCACAATCATTCTCATGCCTACAGCATCGCACCTTAAATTGCATTTCCACCTGATTTTCTCTCATGCATTCGGTCCTTTCTTCATAAATGCAGTTCCTTTGAGCATTACCAACCTCTTTGATTTGCAAGTTCTCTTCCACAATTAATCCTGAACCCACATGACTGAAACCAACCTCCTCCACAATAGGAGCACAGACAGCTCTCATTTTCTTCTGCCTTTGTACTCTGGCAGAAATAGACAATTTATTCTTGGAAATGAGTACAGTATTTGAATCTGTTTGGTGTTAGAACTGCAGTGTTTATTTAAGAGGATCGGGAGCTAATACAGAAGGTGTTGGTTTCAAAAGGAGGAAGAGAAGAGAAAAATGGCTGAGTAAAATGTAAATGTTGCATGAATTGGCGCGTGGTCATGAAAGCCTTAATAAAAGAATGGTTTCACACCTCAATCATCAGATTCAGAGGTTTTTTTTGCACAGTCCCGCAATAAATTTAGCTCATTGCATCACTGTGGGTTTCACCCAAACCTGTGAGCCTTTGATCATTACTCCATGAGTCGGCAAAGCAAACTTTATATTTCACAAGAAAAGAAAAAAAAATCTATAGTAATCATGCGAAAAGTTTTGAGAAATAGTGACATTTGGTATTTGTTTGCCAGTGGGTGTACTGGTGCGTGTGATGGTTGCAAATGGTCACGTATTTAAGGAGTAGTTTAACATTTTGAGGAAATGTTTCTACGTCGGAGACGATGTAGATGGCAGCAAATTAGCTTCATTTAGATAAAGACAGGAAACAAGGGAACTGTTGGCATAGTTCTATTTTTAAGAAAATCAGTTACCATTACCTTAAACACCTTATTTCATTTTATGTTATACAATGTACGTTCAATCTGTACAAAAACAAAGAATAAACAAAAAGAAGTATGCCGTTTTCAGGTTTGCTATCTTCCAAATTCCAGTATTTGTGCTAAACTAAGATAAACAGCTCTTGGCATAATGCCTTCTGGCATGTTTGATGAATACTACAGATTACGTTGCCAAATAAATTATTATCTATCATCATTCAAACCAACGACCTTACAAGGACTTGCATTGTGAGCACAGGTGATTGTCTAGCGAGCACAAACAAACATACAAAGACAGAGGACATCAATTTATATACAAATGTTTAATGAATACCAAAAGGACAGCAGTGGACAGCTGCACGCATTTCTCTTTGTTTGGTTCCAGATGGATTATGAAAAAATGAAATAGGAAAAAAAGTCTACTTCCTTCTCGGATCTGGAGTCCAACGTGTCTTCAGCCGGACACAAACGCAGCTCCGAAGCGATGAATACAATTCACAGGTTTTTGGCAAACTACTCACCACACATCAACTGCTCTATGACGAGAAGCTATTGTAACATCCATCTGAAACTAAATGGAACAAACCGTTTCACGGTGCCAACCAGGCAGATATATATCCTACATTATATACATATATTTATGTTAATAAATATATATATTAACACGGCTCAGTAAGGCTTAGAATCACTGCAATACACTGGAATGGGCAAGTAGCTCGGCACCACCACTAGCTGCACTGATGAGGCGTCCCTCTCGTCAGTCAGGCACTTCTTCAGACAGTGAAGAGGCAAAGTCCTGTGATGTGAAAACCATCCAGCGGCCGGCGGCGGCGGCTGCTGACGGCAAAACCGGTGTTCTCGTCGTGCTGCTGGTAATGGGGTTTTAGTTTTTTGTTGTTGTTGTTGTTGTTGTTGAGGAGCGCGACGGGTCGCTTCTACGGCCGCTTTGCGTGTGATTGCGTTCTCGAGTCTGTGCGGTGCACGCGGGCCCCTTCAAGGCCCCCTTCAAGGCCCCCTTCAAGGCCCCTCCAAGGCCCCCTTCAAGGCATCACGGTCCCCTGTGACAGAGATCGGGTCATCTCTGTGTGAACAAAGTAGGTCTTCAGCTCTCCTTTGCCCTTCACGTTGATGATGCCGCGGCAGGAACACATGTAGCCCAGCGTCGACAGGATGCGACTCGTCTCCTCCGTCACCTGTGAGAGGGAGAGAGAGAGAGAGAGAGAGAGAGAGGACTGGATGATGGAGTTGACGGGACTCCGTGATGACACGCAGCCGTGTGCTCTGCGAGACTCCCCACCTGTATTTTTCCCAGGAGCCCAGTGGTCTCCATCCTACTGGCCACGTTCACACTGTTTCCCCAGATGTCATACTGAGGTTTCTGGGCCCCGATCACTCCGGCTATCACCGGCCCGTGGTTTATTCCTATCAACAAAAAGAGAATTCCAAATGGACAAATGCACAAAAAAGTAACACCGTTAAAGACAAAGATATGTTCTCACCGATTCTGAGCCTGAATTCGTTGAAGGAGTGTTTGTTGATGACGTCGAGCTTCCCCACGAGCGCGAAGGCGAACTCCACCATGGTGCCGATGTGCATGTACTGCCTGTCGTGCTCCTGAGGGGATTGCAAAGACGAGGGGAGGAAATCAGTGAAAGGTGCTAAACGATGTGTCATTGTCAAATGAACAGAGATAACTGTCAATAAGTGTCAAATGGTGGACCTCTGTAGTAAGTGGTTTCTTGTAATGAGCAGGATAATAAACAGCGGACCGGGGAATTTAAGCCCCTTAATGAAAAGCTTATGTTGCTACAAAAAGTAAAAAATACCGAAGATAAAACAGTAACTAGGAGCGGTGGACTTTTAGCAGAAAGCCACTGAACTTTTTGGGTTCCAATCTCCTTTGACGCTTGTAGCTGAATGAACTGATGAATCACTGACTCTTGACTGTTGATGTGTAACACATTTTAACCCACACAAATCTATTTACACGGCAATAAAACCGCCGATGCTGAAGCTTCATCCTGCTGCGTGGCAGTAAATTAAAAACAAGCTCATTGAACGTTCGCTCGAGCTGCCAGAGAGAGATTTTTTTATCAAACACGTGCTGGAGTTTAACCCGGATGGTGGGAGTCTAAAGCTCACAGTCGGACGGTTTGTTTTCCACACAAACACCGTGCAGCTTTCCCTGCATGCACGGGACTCCCGCGCCGTTCACTCGGGGTCACGCTTTCAAGTTCTCCTCAGCTTCGGATGTCACTTCTGGGATGAGCCAGCAGTGAATGTGTGTGTGTGTGTGTGTGCGCGTGTAGAAGCGTGCCTGCGCGCACTCCGGTCCCGGCGTCACATTGAGTCCCGTCGCAGCCATGTACGTGCTCCCGATGGTCTTTATCTTCTCCACCCCGCTGAACTTGGGTTTGGACAGCAGCTGGAGACACGAGAAGAAGGCGGGACACCGGCGTGAAACACCCGCGAGGAGCGCGATCGTCAGCGTAAGAGCAACGGTTTACCTCGTCAAAGTCGGCTATGATCTCGTTGAGGAGACGCAGGCACTCCAGGCCCTCCTTATTGACATCGGACTCGGTGTAGAACTCTTTGAAGTCGGGGATGGAGGCGAACATCACACACACCGACTCGTACGACTGATGATAAAGGTCCTGGTAACGAGCGAGAGGGAGATAACAGCTAGACGTGTGTGTCGTATTGATCGGGCGCTGATGAAAGTCACACAGAAAGAAGATCTACGAGCTGTGAATTGACTCTTTGAATAAAATAAAACCCTAATCATCTCAGGGGTCACCGGAAGCAGCTGAAATGCAAACAGCAGTCCCTCGCAGGAGGGACGGGAGGAAGAACCCAACCAAACATGGACAGAAAGGGATCCAGTTAAGGAGAAATATAGGAATTTAAGTGGGAGGAGACACAATTACAGCAGCAGAGCACGAGGAGTAAAAACAAAGAAAACTAAAAGTAAAATAGGTTTTATTAAATTATATTGGGAAAGTAAATTTAGGAGTTGAGGAAATAAGAATAAAAAAAAGTGGAGACTTGATTTCCCGTTGAACAGCATTTTATTACTATTTCACTTTAAAGTTTTAGGAAGGAATGCAGAATAATGCCCACGTTTGGCATAAACCATCTCATCAGTTTTATTCATCCGCAAAAAAAAAAAAAAGCCCGCCATAAATCGCGAGATACGATAAGTGTGAAGCGGGCAATTTTGTTGCTGTGAATAACACGTGAATAATGAGTGCAAACAGCTCAACGTGAGTGTAGTGAGACTCGCCTCATTCTTCCAGTTGCGTCCCAGGAAGTGTTCGGCCACGTGGGCCGGTAGAACGTTCTCCAGCAGAACCCGGTTGAGGTTCTCCATGGTTTCGATCTCCTCGCACTCCCTCTTGAACTTGTCCCTCCACAGGAAGTCCAACCTACAGTAATATTCATTCTGTTACAGGAGGACACAGAGTAAAGAGACACCCGTGTCATTCACACACAGCACTCTGCTCCGAAGCTCCAGGACACACAGAAACTGAGAAGCTGTCATTTGGTTTTCCACTCAGTCGTCCTCCATCTACAGAAGCATCGTGAGAGCTTCTCTTCTCTCAGACTGGCTGCATTAAGCTCCAGTAATTTCCCACAAAATCCAATAACACGGAGAAAATCCAGCTCGCTCGGTATTCACAGAGAAGGAACGTCTCACTAAAGCCGACGATGACTCACAAGGCTGTTTTGCATGAAAGTTAAGATAAAAGCCGCCACATCTTTATTCTAATGTTTGGTTTATTCACGCCTGAGGGACTTTTCTATCCACCGGGCTCAGAGCGTCCAAGCGGTGTGCATCTTCAGGATCCTGAACACACCCTTCATTACGACGCTGCGGGCCGTCTGGGTGGGACGGGATAGAACTATTGGACAGTCAGACGGATTCCATGTATGCAGTTAGCAGCCTGGATGCTTCTCCCTTGAGGTCAAAGTGGTGCCAATTTAGAAAGCTCCAACAGATGTGGGCTCGTACGGCTCGGTGTGCCCGGATCTTGCGCTACGGCTTTGATGGCCCCGGGCTTGAAATATAAATACAGAAACCGACTTGTGCGTTTGTGTGTGTGTGTGTGCACAGTTCGAACACGTCAGTACCTTCCGGGGCTGAGAAAGTAGGCCGTTGAGAAAAAAAAAAAAAGCAGCTAACAAGCCTGTAAATGAGCTCGGCTCCATCGCGCATCTGTTCTGCGGGGATGAATTACAGATGCCTCCGTTCTCCCGACCGGCTTTCCTCCTCCCTCTGACTAAACTGCTCATTACGGTTTCCACGATGAAGATTTCTTTCCGAGGCGCAATTAGTTAATCGCAGGCGAAAGCCTTTGAGATGGATTCATACCCAGCAACCAATTTACTTACTTCTGCACCTCTGACACCGTCTGACCTGTTTCCAGAGTTATTTTGAGGATGATTGCTAAAGCGTTTTTACCGCACCATTTTATACCCAACCCCCCCCTCACCCCCACTCCGGTGGTGACTGTGACCCAGAACGGGGACGAGGACGGGGACGAGGAACGGAGCCGCCGAGACTCACAGGGGAGCCACGGTTCTGGTTTCAGAAGCTCTGGGGAC